TAAGAATAAGAATAAGAATAAGAATAAGAATAAGAATAAGAATAAGAATAATAAGAATAAGAATAAGAATAAGAATAAGAATAAGAATAAGAATAAGAATAAGAATAAGAATAAGAAGTAAGTTCAAATATCCCTCACTCACAAACCATTTTCTGTGTCTTAGGAAAGCATTTTAAAAGATAAAAGATGTATGCATAATAGAGAAGACTATGCGGCCCTATGGGGCCCAGCCATCAGAGGAACTGTAGTCTAGGCTATGAGCCTTCCTGTACTGAAAACTTGGGGAAGCTACTGTTTAAGATTTTGCCCACCCTCAAGGCATTATTATTGGGGAATTATGACAGGGTCTTTTGGGTGACTGTTCCAAACTATAGATGAGGCTAGCCTCGTACATGAGAGGAGGCTGGTCTCTCTTCCTTGTCATCCTTCTTTTGGCAGACAAAATTTTTAATCAATGTTCTTTTCAACGCTTTTAGATTCAGTTTCATTTTAATATAATTCTAATAGTGTTGAACATTGTAGGCTAAATGTAATTGTAAGGCACAACTAAAGATGATCTTTTTAATCAATGGGATTTGCATTAATATTGATGCTACAAGTGCCATAAATTCAATTGGTGTTTTAGAATTGAGCCTGATAAATAGATATTGTCTAATATTTAAGTGTTGTACTTGCTGTCCACTGTAAGTTTTGTGAGTTGCCTTCAGTTCCAGTATAGGAAGAAAGGCAGGAAATAAATAAGTAAGCATCCTTAAATAATGCACGTTAAACATCCCTCTTTTGACTTGAGAACCGCCTTCCAATACGGATTAAGTTCTCAAGTCAAGACCCCACTGTAATGCACGTTAAACATCCCTCGTATTTGTTTATTTGTTTGTTTATTGCATTTATACCCCACCCATTTAGTTGATTGATTACTCTGGGCAGCTTCCAACATGTATAATAAAAATAATGATGTTAAAACATCAATAATCAAATTATTCAAGATGGAAAGAATAAGAAGAAATAAATCAAATAGTAACTGGAGGGAAGGCCTGCCTAAACAACCAGTTTTTCAATTGGCTTTTTAAATGCCCAGCGAGGGGGCAGCACAGATCTCAGGATGAAGATTTTTCCAGAGGTAAAGAGCAACCGCCGAGAAGGCCTGGTTTCTTGTTTTTCCTTCCGGACCTCCTTTGGTGTCAGGCTCCTCAGCTGTACCTCCTGACTAGATTGGGTGATATGGGTAAATTTTGATGGGAGCAGGCGTTCCGCCAAGTATCGAGGCCCTAAACTGTCTAGGGCTTTATATGTAAACATTGAAACTTTGAAGTCAACACTTATTATTCTTTAACTGATTCTATGTTTTCTATTTCTAGAAAAATGAGATGTTGACCAATGGGAGATGGAAAACCAAACTGAACTAACAGAGTTTCTACTCTTGGGACTCTCCAGAGATCCACATTTGCAATTGTTTTTATTCCCTATCTTTCTAGTAATTTTTTTAGTCACCATCTTAGGAAACACAGCTATCATGCTTGTGACCAAGATGGACGCTAGCCTTCACTCCCCCATGTTCTTTTTTCTTGGTCACCTGGCTTTTGTTGACATCTGCTATTCCTCTGTTACTGTTCCCAAGATGCTGGAAAACCTCATAATGCAGCAGAACACTATTTCCCGTGGAGGATGTATTGTGCAGATCTTCTTCTTTTTCCAGATTGCATGTACTGAGGTGTTCATCCTGTCAGCAATGGCTTATGACCGCTATGTTGCTATCTGTGATCCATTACATTATATCACAATTATGAATGCAGAGCTTTGCAGACAAATGGTAGGTGGAGCTTGGACAATGGGTTCTTTGTATGCTGTCATGAATGTACTGCCATTATTAAATCTGCAATACTGCAGGAACAATACACTTAACCACTACAGCTGTGAGCTGCCTTCACTCTTGGTCTTGTCCTGTACCCAGACCTTCAATAATTATATTGTTCTTCTTATCTCTGTATTGATATTTGGCTTTGGTTCATTTCTCCTCACCCTCATCTCTTACATTCACATAACTGCCACCATCCTGAAGATTCGTTCTGTAGAAGGCAGGCATAAAGCCTTCTCTACCTGCAGTTCCCACTTCATTGTGGTTGGCTTGTTTTATGTTTCAGCTTTCTTCCGGTATATGAAACCCAGTTCAGAATCACTCCCTGATTTGGATAAACTGGTCTCTATTCAGTATGGCATCTTAACACCTATGTTAAACCCCATTATATACAGCTTGAAAAACAAAGAAATCAAGACAGCTTTGTCCAAAATATTTGTAAAGTGGACTTGTACTGAAAATACCAGGAGCAATTTGGTACCCAAGTAAATGGCACAGCAAACTTCCATGTCTGAAACATTAGTCTTTTTTTTGCTGGCTTTTACTGCATTAATCAAAATTTTCAGAACAATATCTTATCTGCATGTATATTAAACACACACACACACATTTCATTTTATAAACATATGTTATCCTGAAGTGTACATTTTTGCATATTTGAGATATATATTGATGATGTTTTTACATCATTCAGACAAACATAAATTATAACCCTTAGATTTCACAGTCAAATTTATATTGGATATGTTCAATACTATCAAGACTGGTTACACACACGCACACACACACACACACACAATTTCATTTTGTAAGCATATTTTGTCCTGAAGTGTACATTTTTGCATATGTGAAATATATGTTGATGATGTTTTGAGTTACAACATTCAGACAAACATAAACTATAACATTTAGATTTCACAGTCAAATTTATATTGGATATGTTCAATACTATCAAGACTGGTTAATTGTTCAACAGTTCATGTTTGCATGATGCATACTGTCTCCCTAGAATCATTAATATATTGATGGATACATAGATTGGTAGATACATGGAGAAGAACTGAAATCAGTTACCTGCACCCCTGTTGAGGATAATGTTTGAAACTGTAAAATTTATACAATAAAGTCAGATTCTTTGTATTTTGAATGTTAAATAAAGATGTAGAGCAGGCTTGTCCAACCCGCGGCCCGCGAGCCACATGCGGCCCAGTTCCGCTCATAATGCGGCCCAGTGCAGTTGTTTATTTTATAAGAAATTCCTTCCGTAGCTCTATTGTTCAGTCGCGGCCGAGACCAGGAATTGGTGCTGGGAGCACCCTGGCGGAGGTCACTGTGCTGCTCTGGGAGCTTTGCAAAGGGCGATGGGAGGGGCTGCCCCCCACAGTGCGCATAGCAACACCCCCACCCCGCCGAAACTGCTTGCGTGGCCAAGGGCAAGAGGTAGCAGCTGCTCGTTTACTTGGCTTGCACATTTGTCCTAGTCTGAGAGGCGCAACAGCCAAGGCTTGGCGTGCTTCACTGCTCTGAGGGAGGGCGCACACAGCTGTTTTCTCAGCAGGGAAGAGAAGCCGAAAGCACCGCCCGACGCCCAAGGAGGGCATTTTGGCAACCGCTTGTCCCCTTCTGTTGCTTCCCACCTTTTCTGTCTTTGGGCGAAGTTGGCACAGCACGGAGGATTTGAGCTCCGTAGCGTGCAGAAAGACTCCCCCACGCATGTCTCTTTCACAGGCAGACACAGACACACTCTCACACACAGACACACTATCTCTCACAGACACTGTCTCCCCTCCCACACACACTCTGTGTATCTCAGGGACACACAAACACAGATTCTCTCACTCACACACACGCGCACACCCACACCCACACACCCCTACCTTTCTATCTGTTTCTGTTCCCCCTTTCCCTCCCCCAAACCCCACTGGTGCAAAGCATCCTTGAGTGGAAGCGGAAGCTGGGGTAGAAGCGGAAGCTGGGCGCCTGCTGTCCTCTTTCTCTCTCCCCAAACTCTATGGTCTTCCTGGCCGTTTCCCGCCGGAGGATCTGGAAGGAGGTGGGCGAGGTCATGTGTGTGTTTGTGTGGGTTGGAGGGGATTTCCAAAAATGAACATTAGGGCCACCCCATCTCCCTAGGGACCCCGCGTTGCTCCACGTGGAAGGAAAGGACTCCCCTTTTTCCTCCTCCTCTTCTGTGAGGGGTCACAATCTTACTGGGGGGGTGGAACAAGGAAGCCCGCTGGGATCCCCTTCATGCCACCTGCAGGGAATCATCCTGGGCATGGTGTTTTTTTCCTCCTGCATAGAGACCCCCCTTTTCTTTTTTGGCTTTCCTTCCTTTGGGGGGGGTTCCAAAGGGAAGGAGAGGCGGTGACTAGGTCTCTTCTCCCACTTTATTTTCTCCATCCCTCAGTCTTCCCTGCCCCTCCCTCCTTTTTCCACCTCCAGACCAACTCTCCAGGTGACACCGCCGCACCAAGAAATTTCTCCCCCACGCATGGCCTTTTGGATTCTTTTTTTTGGGGGGGGAGAAGAGAGCAATCCTTTTTTTAACTGAGGTTTTGTTAACTTTTTTTTCACCATTCGTTTTGCTTCCAGTGCCTTGTTTGGCCTCTTTTTTCCTGATCTCCCCATCTCTCTCTCTCTCTCTCTCTCTCTCTCTCTCTCTCTCACACACACACACAC